CTCTATCAATATGGAAATGGAAGTTTTTCGCTTCCAATTACATATCCGACAGGTTATGATTCTTTTCCATCCTCATTAGCTGCTGGAGATTTCAATAATGACAACTATTTAGACCTCGCCATTGCCAATTATGGCACCAACAATATTGTGATACTTTTCGGAAATAGCAACAGCACTTTTGGACAGCAAATTACCATCTCAACTGGCATTGATTCTCAACCACACTCCATTGCCGTGGGTGATTTCAATGCAGACACCTTTCTCGATATCGCTATCGCTAATTCTGGAAGTCATGAAGTAGGTGTGCTCCTAAATAATGGTAATGAAACTTTCGCTAATCCAGTCAACTATTTCATCAATTCTGCTTCTCCAATTGCCATTTGGGTAAGAGACTTCAACCAAGATAATCGATTGGACATAATCACCACGAATAGGGGCACTGACAATATAGCCATACTTCTTGGATATAGAGACGGCAGTTTTGAAAATCCAATCATGTATCAAACTGGAGCTACTTCCTCGATTTCAGTTGTCGTAGATGATTTCAACAAGGACCACCGATTAGATATTGTCGTTGTAAACAATGATACTGGTGCCATAAATATTCTCTTTGGACGTTACGAGGGCTTTCAAAATCAAACAAGGTATTCAGTTGGCTCTAATCCACAATCTGTAGCTATTGGTGATGTCAACAACGACACTCGACTAGATATCGTTGTCGCCAATTTGGGTAGCAATGATGTGAGTATCCTTCTTGGATATGGGAATGGTTCTTTTGAAAATCAAACACGGTATTCAGTTGGCTCTTCTCCACAATCTGTAGCTATTGGTGATGTCAACAACGACGCTCGACTAGATATCGTTGTCGCCAATTTGGGTAGCCATGATGTGAGTGTCCTTCTTGGATATGGAAATGGTTCTTTTGAAAATCAAAAAAGGTATTCAATTGGCTTTTATCCACAATCTGTAACTGTTGGTGATGTCAACAACGACTCTCGGCTAGATATCGTTGTCGCCAATTACTATAACAATGATGTGAGTGTCCTTCTTGGATATGGAAATAGTTCTTTTGAAAATCAAAAAAGGTATTCAGTTGGCTCTTGGCCACAGTCTGTAACTATTGGTGATGTCAACAACGACACTCGACTAGATATCGTTGTCGTCAATTATTGGAGCAATGATGTGAGTGTCCTTCTTGGATATGGAAATGGTTCTTTTGAAAATCAAGCAAGGTATTCAGTTGGCTCTAATCCACAATCTGTAGCTATTGGTGATGTCAACAACGACACTCGACTAGATATCGTTGTCGCCAATTTGGGTAGCAATGATGTGAGTG